TTTCCTTTTGCCTTGTCATAGGTCTAGGTCCCCTTTTCCCCCTGTTTCCATCTAGATGCAGATGAGTATTGGGTTGTTGCCTTTGGAGTCCGTCGTTGGTCTAGGCAGAGGGTAGAAGTAGCGGGCAGGAAATTTGGTTTGGGTCTTTTCATGTTTTCGTTGGCTGGGGGAAACTCTGCCCGTCCGTTGTTGGAGCGCTGCTGCTCTATTTTGGGCGAGGTCATCTTCTTCCTCGAAGCCCAGCCATAGCTGGGGTTGGGAAACGAAGTTGAAAATCGCACTGCTGCTATTTCGCAGCTCTGCATGAGAGCTTCCACAGGACTGCATTGTTGGGTTTGGGTGCTGCCATCTGCTGTTCCTCCTCTCGAGGAACTTTGTCTTCTTCGAAGTGCTGGATCGGTTTGTCTCCTTCTTCGACAGGACTTCCGTGTGGGTGCTGAGCTGGCGCTGTTATCATTACTGTTGCTGGTTCAGATTGGCACGCTGTGACAGCTGTGGGGTTACTGCTGCTACGACAGCCATAGCCAGGGGTATGAGGTGGTGAGGAGGAAGAAGAAGACTCCTGCATACTCCGTTGAACACTTGTTTTTGGTTGTTCGGGGTTGTTGTAAACGCGGTTGTCATTCTTGGAACAAGTACTCTGGATTGATTGGAGGAGGACGAGGGTTTGCAGAATTGAAATTCATTTTTCAATTCTCTGTGTATTTTGAGCTTCCGCTGTGCATATCTTATCTCAGTTTTGTGTGGATTTGCCTACTTCGAGTCTACACTGCAATAGCATGCGTGTATGCGAACATGTGAATTTGTTGTGGATTGAAGTTCAATCGGGTACAGAACACTTTGGCATTGCCGAAACGATGTACATGAGTTTAAAAATCTTTTAACTTCCTGTGTGCAGTCCTGCCCAGCTCCCACTACGTGATCAAACTCAAATCATATTGTCCACATCCTCTTCTACAAGCGGTGCGAGTTGTTAACAGCCTCCCTCATTAAAATGCTCCTCTTTATATGCCGCTGCATGCTACAGGTGCAATTAGACTTCTCCAATTGTATGTTGGTCGATATTGGAAAGCCAGAGGTGTCTGCAATAGACCATAACTATTCAACCACAGCAACTTTTATGGTTGTGATATGCCCATGAATGTGAGAACCACAAACACAAAGAGAATAAGTGCCATTTGACTCTGTCGAGAGAAATTATCCCACAAATGGTTAACGAACTTAACGGGGAACCCCATTTTCAGGCCCTGGGTAACGAGTCCAAAACTGAAATTAGGGTTTCGGGGTCAAATTTTATGTTTTTTTTTTTTTTTTTTTTTTTTTGCCTGTTCTTGTTTTGGTTCAAGGTTGGTGTGTGCCAAATTTTGTGTCATTTGGAGAATTGGAAATTCCCTCTGTTAAGATTTCTGAAATTTCTCAAGATTTCTGAAATTGAGATGTTGGCAAAATTTCATGAAAATGCACTTTTGCCTTGCTGTTTTATATGTTTTTTATTATTATTTTTTGGATTTTTTTTGCAGTTAGTTAGTATGGTCTCCACTCTACGAATTGGTGGCAAGTTTGATTAAAAAGACCCTTAGGTTTTCATATAAATGGCATGGCAAGTGGTCTGAAAATTAGGTTCTCTGTAGTGTAACCTCCCTCACTGGTTTACTGTTCCTGAACACCGTACCATTCCCAGAACCCCACTGCTCCTGTCAAACACCACAAGAAATATCTCCCACTGAGCTCAGTGTAACCTCCCTCACTGGTTTACTGTTCCTGAACACCGTACCATCCTCCTCGACCCCTCTCCAGTTCTGCGCTAAACTTTCTAGTCCTCCCAAATACCGTACCATCCTCCTCAATTTCTCTCCAGTTCTGTGCTGTTCATGCCCTGCATTATATGAGGTTCCTGGCCTCAGCAGATAGAACATCATGTGGTTATCAGATATTCTCAAGACTAAGTCAAATGCCGCTTATTCTCTTTGTCGTTCGTTGTATGTCCAAAGTGGCAATGGTTAACCTTCATGTCCAGAGGGAAAATGAAGCAGAACAGGACATCTTGCAGTTGAATACTGAACCGAAGGCAAACCCTCTGTACAGAGTTGTAGGATGCTCTCAAGTACTGATCATGAGGCGCAGTGAACTTGCCCTTGGGTTGGGAAGAACAACTGGAAACAGCTGCTAAGACCCCATACACTGAGTAGTAAAAGGAGGAATCCGCCATCTACTTGCTTATCCCAGTTTCTTCATTTTCCTGGTTTACTCCAACATTCTGACAAGGCTGCCATTTTTGCTGCAGCTTTTCACTTTCAAGCACGTTTAACGGCACTGGATCGATATCTGGAGTTAGTAATGTCTGACATTTCAATCTCGATGCTTAGCCTCAGAGACTTCAGGCGAGAAAGCCAGAGATCACAATACCAGCAAGGAATACCTAAAATCTGCACCAAACTAAATGAACTTTTCTCATAGAGTAACAATGTTCAGCCCAGCAGTCCAGGCACATTGCCGGACCTTCTAGGCCCGGAAATTCCTGAAAAAAGGTTAGAAACAACCATGATCACATCTTCTCTGGTCAGGACTGCTATCATCATTATATTCCATTTGTCCAAATGGAGCCCGAACCTCAACCTCATTTTGGGAAAACATGCTTAGGCTCCAAGGGATTTTAAAAGGGGGACAAGGGTCGCTGTTGCGGCTTCGCCCGCCAAAAAGAAAAAGAAAAAGCATAATGAACTTTATCAGCAGCCAAAACCTGTTTGCAAGAAAACAAGAAGGCATACCAAGGAACCTTTTTTACGTTTTTACTGCGAGTCTTTTGTTTGGGAAGCTGTTATCTTTTCAGCCTGTTTTTTGGTTTTCTGTTGTGTTACGACCCACAAAGTTTCAGTCTGAGATCTCTGTTATTTGCCGAGAAATGGCTGTGCTTAGTGCTAAGGATTCCGATGCCGAGTTTGCTTGCTGTCCTTGGTGAATACGTTTGTGATCAACCGATCTTGTATGTATGGCATGTGCTTACTTGTTGAGTTTTGACGCTGTCTGTGTGTGCAAATGCACGTGTGTGTGTCAGTCTCAGCTTGGTGCATGTGCATCTTTCAGTCTCCTCTTGGTGGGCCCAGATGGTGTGTTTGGTGATTGGCCTGGAGAAGTAGTTGCAAATCGTCTTCAATAATAAGAGTGCCACTATTAAGCAGGTGTTGTAATGTATGATTGGCATAATCAGCATCCAATCTGCTTGGCAGTTGCTGCTCGTGGGGAAAGTTGTTGGAAGTAGCATTGTCATATGAGCTGTGATGCTGGGCATGCATCTTGGAGCATTTCCTGGTTTGCAAAGCCAAAGACAAAACCCAGCAGCACATGTCAGCATCATAAGATTGACAGCCTGGCAGCATCTCTCTCTCTCTCTCTCTCTCTCTCTCTCTCTCTCTCTCTCTCTCTCTCTCTCTCTCTCTCTCTCTCTGTCTCTCTCTCTCTCCCCTGCCCCCACCCTTTCCCAATCTCTCCTGCGGCAAAAAGCGCAAAAGGCCACACACAATGAAACCGGGTGGAAGAGGCGCGGAGGCGGTGCTGCAGAGGCACGGAGGGGAGGCGGAGAAGTACGGAGGAGGAGCGGAGAAGGCACGGAGGACGTGCGGAGGAGCTGTGGAGGAGGGGCGGAGGAGTGGAGAAGCTGCGGAGGAGGGGGGCAGGAGGGGCGAAGGAACGGAGAAAAGCTGCTGAGGAGGGTATAAGGCGGGGAGGAGCAAAGAAGCTAAGGAGGATGAGTGGGGGAGGAGGGGAGGAGAGGAGAGGCTGCCGGGGATGAGCGGGGAGAAGGTGCGGGGAAGCTGCGGAGAAGGGGTGGAGGAGGAGCAGAGGAGGAGCAGAGGAGGAGCAGAGGAGGCGCGGACGAAGGGCGAAGGAGGGGCCGAGGAAGGGCGAAGGAGGGGCCAAGGAGGGGCGGAGAAGGAGCATAGGAGTGGAGGTGGGGCAGAGGAGTGGAGTGGAGGACAGGCGGAGAGGGAGCGGAGGAATGGCGGAGGCGAGGAGGATGAGCAGAGGACGGGCAGAGGCAGAGCGGAGAAGTTGCGGAGGAGGAGGGGCAAATGCGCGGAGAATGAGCGGAGGAACGGGGGAGGAGGGGTGAAGGAGCGGAGAAGCTGCAGAGGAGGAGCGGAGGAGGAGCTCCAGAGGTGGGCTGGATGAGCAGCGGAAGAGCAGCAGAAGAGGCGCATAGGATTGGCCAAGAAGGATGGGCAGAGGAGCAGACGAGGCGTCGAGGAGGAGAGTGGGAGGAGCGGAGGAGCGGAGGAGGCACACATGAGGAGCGAAGGAGGCACAGAGGAGGAGGGGGAGGCGGGGCAAAGGGCGAGCGGAGGAGCTGCAGGAAAGGTGCGGAGAGGGAGCGGAGGACGAGCGGAGAATGTGTTGAGGAGGAGGGGCAGAGGAGGGCCTGACGAGAGGAGCAGCAGTGGAGGGGCAGCGGAAGCGGTGTGGACGACTAGCGGAGGAGGAGGGGCAAAGGAGGGGAGGGGGAGGGGGGGAGCAGCGAAGGAGGCATGGAGGATGAGCGGGGCACGAGGGGCGGAGGGGAGGAGGATGAGCGGAGGAAGAGGAGCGGAGGAGGGGACGAGCAACAAAGGAGAGGCGCAGAAAAGCTCTGGGGGAGGAGCAGGGGAGGAGGGGAGGAGGGGAGGAGGGGCGGAGGATGAACGAAGGAGGTGGGGCGGGGGAGCGGAGAAGTAGCGGAGGCGGCGCAAAGGATGAGTCGAGGAGCGACAAAGGAGAGGAGAAGCTGTGGAGAAGGAGCAGGGAAGGATGGGAGAAGCAACAGAGGATGAGCGGACGATGGGCGGAGGGGAGCAAAAAAGCTGAGGAGTGGGGGAGCAGGGGAGGAGCAGCGGAGGATGAGCAGGGGCTGAGTGGGGGAGGAGGGGCGAAGGCGCAGAGGATGTGCGGAGGCTGAGTGGGGGAGGAGGGGCGAAGGCGCGGAGGATGAGCGGAGGAGAGGTGGTGGAGCGGAGGAGCAGCGAAGGAGAGGGGCGAAGAAGCTACGAAGGATGAGAGGACGAGGGGGACAGAGGAGCGGGTGAGCAGAGTGGGACAACGAACTCTCTCTCTATCTATCTATCTCTCGGTGAAATGGGAGGGTTGAGTCGTCACGGAGGAAGGCGAGGGAGCAGGAGGAGCGGGATAGCGGAGTTGGGTGATGGAAGAGGCACGGAGGGTGAACAGAGGCCGAGGATACTAACCTGAAAGTTCTTTCTTGTAGTGTCGTTGAGAGTCCACCACATGTCAATCACCAGGCACACCACAACTCACGACTGTCCACCACAAGTGACCGTGCCCACCATAGCTCACACACCTCACACACACACACACACACACACACACAGAGTCATGCGCGCCACAGGGCGCAGGCCCGACCAAACCCTACCGCCCATGCCAAGAAAAGGGCCGAAGTAACAAACAAAGGCGATAGGGCCGAAAATGAAGGCGGTAGGAGTGACGTACCGGCCCAACGGCCGGCTTCGCCCACAATAAAATGAAGGAAATAGTGTTAAAATGAGGATGGGTGGGGGGTTTGTTGCTTGGCGTTGGGATGGTTTTTAGGCTCACCTGTGGATTGTTGACGCAGTCCGTCTCTCTCTCTCTCTCTCTCTCTCTCTCTCAAACACACACACACACACACACACGTGCATTGTTCACGCAGTTCCCCCCCCAAAAAATAGGGGCCTCGATAAATCTCGGATGAGATATGAAACTGATCAGATATTACACTTGTTCGGGTCCACCCGGGGAGGGGCCGTAATAGGTTAGATTCGGGTGCCTCTCTCTCACACACACTCACTCTCTCGTGCGGGTGTGTCTTCATGCGCTCGCTCGCGTGCGTTTTTTTTTTTTTTTTTTTTTTTTTTTTTTAAGAAGAAAAAGGGGTTCTGATGGACCACGGATCGGATATGAAACTGATCGGAACACGTACGTTGATCGTGTTGTTGAGAGGGGGCGGGGCCGTACTTACTTAGATTGGGGTCTCTCTCTCTCTCTCTCGCTCGCTCGCGCGCGCACACACATGTGCTTCTTTTTTTTTGAAAAACAGTTGCAAGGAAAATGAGCAATAGCTAAATGACCAATTTCCAGATTGCAAATCCCCTCGAAAGCCAAATAGTCGAACGTTGTCCAAAAAAGCAGACCTGCACTGCTATTACACCAAAGGAGAACAAAAGCATCGAACTTAATTGTCAATGAGAGCATATACTCGCCACCACCAACATTGCAATTGTAGCTCTTCCCCCTAGTGGCGCTCAACGCCCAAACTACTACCCTACATCTACTCGACAAGCAACGAATGATAAGCAACTTGTTGACGTCGGCAGCAGCAACCAAAGTACATGCAGATGTCGACCATGCGAACCATCACCAAGACCAAGGACGTGCCCTCACGCCATCATCCTCATCTCTCCCTCTCCTCACCCTCGTCTTCTTCACCCACGTCCGCCCTCAAAACGAAGACCACCACCACCCGCTGACCACCACCCACTGACTATCTTCCAAGCACCAAACTGGCTACGTAGGTTGTGCTATGGCGTTGCCTAGTAGCAGGGTCCTCACTTCCCGCGACCAAGGTCGCGACACTGTGCACTTGCGCCAACATGCCGCGCACAAGCAGGAGCTCCAGCAGCGCTATCGCACACATGCACAAGCGCCCGAATGTCTCCCCCAGTGCCCGACACTTTCCCATATCGAAAGTGGGGGTGCACTGCCTGCTCTGCCCCGTCAGGACCCAGTTTCCAGTAGCTTCACTCTCGGCCAAAGTGCCCACGCCCAGTGTCGTTCAAACAGTGGCTTGGGACCGAACCGGTTGGGCATGCCCAACCACCCAGGCACAAACGCGCGGTGTACCCCGCTTTCACCATGTTGCTGGAAGTGCATGGAAAACTCACAAATATTTTGGATTCTCACGAGCAAGGCGGATGTAACCAATTGGCGCATGGCAACTGTTTGGCGCCCAACAAGATTTGCGGATATTGACGCTCATTGGGATTAGGCCTCAACAAACTTGTCGACACCGCCCATCAATGGTGGATCACCGAATACGCCAACCGACACTCCGGCGGCCTACCTCCCCTCTCCTTCCTCAAGTGGGCCTCCACCCTTCGCCAAAACATTCCCCATGGGCCACGACCAGATCAATGACAACGTCTTCATCTCCCGCTTCAAGCGGGTTTGTCGAAAGGACATGGCATCTGCCCTCGCCTACAAGCCACGCATGTCCTTCACCGACCTCCTTATCCATGCCCTTCAACACGATCACCTTCTCTGCCCCGTCCCCGGTCCCACCACCTCCCGTCTACGCTTCTTTCACAATATCTCCACAGATGAGACCACCATAGCGTCCCCCTTCGACAACAAGTTCACAGCCCTCTCGTTGAGCCCGACACCAACCCTGACTCCTCCACCCCGATGTCCCTCAATTCGGAGGAACTCAACACCATCCAATTCGTGCGCATGGAATGCAAGGACCGCATGGCTCGACCATCTTCCTCCACCCACCCACCCCGTCTCAAGAAACTAACAACTGATGAACGCGCCTACCAACAATGGCTCCTTCTATTGTCGGCACCTTGGATACCAGCAAACAAACTGCCCCAACGCCGGCTAGTTCCCTCTTCACGTGAACAAACCTGCGACATCCACTCCTTCGGCCGCCACGGGACCCAACCCCTGCTCAACATCGTCTCTATACCCTTGATCTCGGCGTCCACGTTACTCCACCGACACCATCCTCTACCCTGTCAGACGAGATCATCACCGCCTCGTGCTCTTCCACCCTCCTCCCCAACCCTTCCTCCATCTCCTTCTCTGACGTTCTTACGGAACAAGCACGACTCGGTCGGCTCGTTAAGTTAGGCCTCGAACAACGACACCTCAACACCATGATCTCTTCCACCTCCATCGACTCCTGATTCCAACTCAAATTCATTGCCGCCTCCCTTGCTGCGTCTACACTCAAGTTTCAGGCTCTCCTTGACATCAAAGCTACCGACAACTTCATTACACGCTCGCGCTCGCAAAGTCGGTCTTCCTTCCACCGACTATGACTCCCTAATCACCATTCGACTAGGGAACAAGGACACTGTCGTCGTAGTAGACCGCACCATTCCTGAGACCACAATAATTGTAGGCTCTCTCCGCAGTCAGGTCTCATTCGACGTCATGCACTTGATGTGCGACATCGTCCAGGGAACCCCATGGCTCGACCGTTTCATGCCCTACTCTTTCCATCCACCTTCTTTGGCATCACCACACCCCTGGCTCTACCCTTGGCATTCCCTACTTTCCCCACCCTACCTCCCAACCTTCCATCACTCCCCACCGGTTTCTCCACATGGCTCATCACAACCCCGACTCCACCTATTATTGTCCTGTCCTTGACCATGAGCGTCCCGATGACTTGCTTCCAACGAAAAAAAAACGACCAAGCCCCCCATTCTGACCTCGCTCTTACCTTTATCCTCGAGGACGTCTTTCCTGAGTCCTTACCCGCTAGACTACCTCCGGATCGTGTTGTCTCTCATACCATTGAATTGGAACCCGATCACGCTCCTCCATCTCGACCACGCTACCCACTCTCCATTCCCGAGGCCGAAGAAATGAAGTGACAACTCAATGAACTCCTTGAAAAATGATTCGTTAAGCCAAGCTCCTCCCCCCTTGGCACAAGTTGCCTCTTCGTCAAGAAAGGCGGAACCTCCGAACTCCACATGTGCACAGACTACCGCGCCCTCAACCGGATCACGATCAAGAACAATTACCCCTTGCCTCGCATCTTCGAGCTTCTTGATCGCCTCCATGGTGCCAAGTACTTCACAAAGATCGACCTCCCGAGTGGCTTCCACCAGATCTGCATTCACGAAGAGGATACTCATAAGACTGCCTTTCGCTCTCGCTTTGGGCATTACGAGTTCCTTGTGATGCCTTTTGGCCTCACAAACGCATTTGCAACCTTCCAATCTCCTATGAATCACATTTTTCGCGATCATCTCGAAGTCTGTGTCGTCGTCTATCTTGATGATATCCTAGTCTTCAGTCCCACCTTCGAGATTCTCCTTCAGCACATTCGTCGGGTCCTCTCTATCCTCAAAGACCAAAAGTCCTACGCCAAGCTCAGCAAATGCACTTTTGATGCCTCAAGCGTAGAATACCTTGGCCGAATTGTATCCGCTGACGGCATCCACATAGACCCCTCGAAGGTCATCGCCCTTGTCGAGTTTCCCCCACCTACGACCTTGCTGCAACTTTATTCCTTCCTCGGTCTTGCCAACTACTGCCGCCCCTTCATCCACAACTTCTCTGAATCTCCTAACCCCTCCACGAGCTCACTCGCAAGAAAGAGCTTTTGCATGGAATGAACGTCGTCAAGCCGCATTCGACCTCCTTAAACAAGTCATTACATATGCCCCTGTCCTCAAGATTGCTGACCCTCTCGACACTTCTATGTTACCACCGATGCCTCAAACTTTGCTATTGGAGCCGTCCTGTCCCAACACTTCCCCCGCGACATTTCGGACCCCCCTTCCATCAAGGATTTCACCACCCACTCTGAGGCTCCACCCGACGAGTATCCTATCGCATTTGTGAGCAAGAAGATCATACCCGTGGAGATGAATTATCCCTCCAATGAGAAGAAACTCCTCGCCATCATCCATGCCCTCAAAGTCTGACGCCCATACCTCGACGGTCAGCACTTCACTATCTGCACCGGCAACACCATCGTCTCAAGCATACTCACCACGAAGGATATCACACCCCGCCAATCTCAATGGTTTTAACTTTTCGCCCAGTTTACATTGACCATCTGTCACACCCCCGACAAGAGCAACCGCGTCGCTGATCCCCTCTCTCGACGACCCGATCACAAGCCCGCTGAGAATGTCTACACTGCCACGACTCATGTTAAGCTCCTGCCTTCACTCCACCACCGCTATACTCACGGGTACCCTTCATGCCCCGATTTCTCTACCATCTACAACAAGCTTCGCGACTTCGACACCGTCCCCGACTACTCCCTCCACGACAACCTCTTGTACATTAACACTAAAGGGAACCGCCGACTTTGTATCCCTGACGCACGTGGTCTTCGTACCCATCTCTTGGCCAAACACCACGACGCCAAAACCGCAGGACACCTTGGTTTTCAAAAGACATTTGACGTAGTCTCTCGCTACTTCTACTAGCCCTCACTCCTCGCCAACATCAAAGCATACATTCGATCATGCCCCACTTGTCAAGCAATCAACCCCTCAAACCAGGCCAAGCCTAGCAAGCTCCAGTCATTGCCTAACCCCACGACGCCAAACCCGCAGGACAAGCCTAGCAAGCTCTAGTCATTGCCCAACACCACGATGCCAAGACCGCAGGACACCTTGGTTTTCAAAAGACATTTGACACCGTCTCTCACTACTTCTTTTGGCCCTCACTCCTCGCCAACATCAAAGCATACATTCAATCATGCCCCACTTGTCAAGCAGTCAACCCCTCAAACCTGGCCAAGCCTAGCAAGCTCCAATCATTGCCTAACCCCACCCATAGGTGGCAGTCCATCTCTATGGATTTCGTGTGCGGTCTCCTCAAGACCGACCACGGCCGTACATCTACATCATTGTCTGCCGCTTGACCAAGCGGGCCCATTTTATCCCTTGCACCACTTCTCACAATTCCAAAGACGTCGCCACACTCTTCTTCGATCATGTCGCACACCATCAGTCCCCGAAAACATTATCAGTGACCGTGATCCTCGCTTCTTTTCCCAAAACTTGTTCAAAGCCTCCGACACCACTCTCTAGTACAGCACTACATTCCATCCCCAGACCAATGGCCAGACCAAAAAGATGAACGATACTCTCCAAAGGATCCTGCGAAAGTAGTGCCATCCACACCAACACGACTGAGATTAGTTGCTCACCGGCGTCACCGCTGTCGAGATTGCCTATAACAACGTTGTCTGCCCTTCCACTGGCATGTCCCCATACTACCTTGACCTTGGCTACCATCCCCGCTTGCCCTCAGACTTCTTGCTCCCCGCTTGCACCACTTCTCACAATGCCAAAGACCTCGCCACACTCTTCTTCGATCATGTCTCACACCATCATGATCTCCCTGAAAACATCATCAGTGACCGTGATCCTCGCTTCCTTTCCCAATTCTAGAAAAAACTTGTTAAAATCCTCCAACATCACTCTCCAGTACAGCACTGCATTCCATCCCCAGACCAATGGCCAGACCAAAAAGATGAACGATAATCTCCAAAGGATCCTGCGAAAGTACTGTCATCCACACCGACACGACTGGGATCAGTTGCTCATCGCTGCCGAGATTGCCTATAACAACGCTGTCTGCCCTTCCACTGGCATATCCCCATACTACCTTGACCTTGGCTGGCTCTCCGCCAAACGCTTTGAACCAAGGTAGTATGGGGATATGCCAGTGGAAGGGCAGACAACGTTGTTATAGGGCAGACAACATTGTTATAGGCAACGTTTGGTTCTATCCGCCATACTACCTTGACCTTGGCAAAGTCTGGCTCACCGCTGCCGAGATTGCCTATAGGCATATCCCCATACTACCTTGACAACGTTTGATGCAAAGTCTGGCTCTCCGAACACCGCTTGTCCAAAAAACTCTCAAACAAGTGGCTCTGCCCATTCCCCATCATTGAACAAACATCCTCTCTAAATTACAAACTTCAACTACCCCTGACAGGAGTCGTGTTCACCCTATCTTCCATGTCAAGCACTTGAAAAAATACCATGAATCACCTCCACAATTCGTCGACCGCCCATATCCTAGAGCCCCACCAATCATGCTACCCACCCGGCCAGAATTCACGTGTAGAATCTATCATAGGACGAAGAACTACTCAAGTATCCGATCACCCGGAACCAATCACTGAATACAAAGTCGAATGGACCGGACACCCATATACCTTGCATAAACCTTGCCTCATTGCTCTACACACACCCCTGTACCAAGCGAAACCCTGCCCCTCGACCTCTCTCTGTCTGATCCGCTCTTGCCTCCATCTCGTTCCCCAATATGTCCTCTGCCACATCCTCTGTCTCTCTTGTCCAAGCCTTACTTGTGGCTCCTGTTGATCGCCGGCGATAAAGGATCTAATGGCAAGTGCACGAGGACGATGGCCTGCTGCAGCACAGCTCGAGGCAATTAAGCAGCTGGTTGGCCACCATGCTGCCCCATTGGTAGGCACCTGGACTCGCAAACTTCTGGAGCAGCACTCTTGACATGGACATCCAGACCAGTCTGTGACTGCCATCCGGATCAAACTCCATCATCAGGATCGTGTACCGGACACACCCTGGTGCTTGGACCTTCATATATTGGACTGCTACACTACTTTCAAGCTGGAACCCTCGCTACTACACGTCGCAAGCCTGCTGAAGACTGGTTTATCATCAGCATTTTGTACCTGGACTTACTTCAAGGCCTGCTTCACGACTCTCACCCAGACCATTTTGCAGAACCTGTGATTTCCCCCCAACCCCATTCACTTCGAGATCCTCAGCAACCCCAACCCCCGAACACTGCAAAATAATTTTCATTGCTCACAGAACCCTTTTGCCCAATAGTTCAACAGTACGACAACCCTGTTCCCCCCTCAGATCATAACCCTGTAGTCCATCAGTAGGACAACCCTGTTCCCCTGCAGTTCCTAACCTTGTAGTTCATTAGTAGGCAAACTCTGTTCCCTCTCAGAAGTCCATCAGTACGCATACCCCGTAGCTCATAAGTAGGAAAACCCTGTTTCCCCCAGCCCTTGTTACCCACATTATACCCCTCTCCCTTTTTCTTCCTGCTTCCCGTGATCGACCCCGTCCCGTCCTTCACAGGATTCAGCATCATTTTCATGACTTTTGGCAGCCAGGACGCTGCCTTCTAGAGGGAGAGGATAGTGTTACGGACTCAGCCAGGGCTCGATCCCTGGTCTGCGGGTTACCACCTTCAAGCTTACTGTATTTATGCTTTTTTTTTTTATACAATTTTCTTGTTTTATTTTGTTTTTGCTCATCTGATTTCAGACAGTTGGCGCCATCTGCATCCAGGCCCACGTTTTCAAAATTCCTTCTTTTTGGACTTTCGGATTTCGGATACTTGGCGCCATCCGACATTCTGGCGCCCACTCTCAGACTTTCGACTTTCAGTACTGGCCCTGAGGCATTTTCACTTTCGCCCCTAGGACCATACCTGACTCCGGTACGTCTGGACTCAAGCCCAGTAGGGGCACCAAGTTTTCAGCCTCAGTGCTTGTGTTCAGTGCGACATTGCCTCGACATTGTGTTCTGGAATTCAAGACTACGACTTTGTGACTTTGTGTCTGTGTCCGTCGAGTCGTGTCGAGTCTGCGTCGAGTTGAGTGAGAGCGTGCGTGTGCTCTCACTCTCCCTCTCTCTCCCAGCCTCACTGCTCTGCCTCTGCCTTGTCACAACCTAAGACTCCTGTGAGAGTTACGGGTCAAAGACAATGCCCAAACGACAAATCGTTTGCGGGTCAAATGGAGTTCACACATTGTAACCATGTTTTAGAACTCAAGATTTTACCGATGTGCTCCTTAGCTTTTTGCTTTTTTTATTTGCTACTCGGACGTATGGGCGATTGCAATTTTGATTTTAGTATTTTTTTACTATTTTACCATTGTTGCACCCCCCGACGGTCGGCGGCCCTTGACTGGTCGGCTGCCGACCCGCCGACCCGCCGACCGATCGGCTGGTCAGCACCCACCGGTCCGGGGTCGTCGGCACCCCACAAATATATATACATATATATATCGTCAAATGGAATATATATATATATATATATCGTCACAAACAGAACTGCCCGGTAAACCGTTGGCAGAGAGAGAGAAGAGGACAACAAACGAGGGGCTGTGACAAACTGTTTCGTCGGAGTTTACTCAGCATGCTAATTTTAATTCAACAATGGTATCACGAATCTACAATAGCTTTTCTAGGGAGTTTTGAAGTTAACCATTTTACTACATGCTTCCGTCTGATAATCAGCTTATGCTGTACCTTATAGGGTCACCAGCCCGTACGTACGGAGGTCCCCGGGCCGACCTCCGTACGTACGGGTGTTCGGGGTCCCGTACGGGGTCCGAACCCGACGGCGTTCGGCCCGCGCCAAAAATTATTTCGGGGCCTAAAAATAATATTTTTTTTCCGAATTTGTTTTTGTGAGTTCTCTATGACGTGAGGTATATGCCTGTAAATTTTCAAGTCATTTGGCTAAGCCCAATAATAATTAAAAATCGCCAAAGATGGCGGTGTCAAAACGTGCTCGCCCACATATTTTTTCACTTTTTACTTTTTGTTTTCACTTTAGTTCGGGGTCTAAACAATTTTATTATTTTTTGGAACTTTTTTAGTGGGTTTTGCATTATGTGCAGTATACATCTGTAAATTTTCAGCGCATTTAGCTATGCCAAAAAAAAATGAAAAATCGCCAAAGATGGCGGTGTCGAAAACATGCATGCGCACTCACTAAATTTAATTCTCTTTTTATTTTTATTTTTTTTATTATTAATATTTGTTTTACGTATTTTATTTTTATTTCAAATTTGGTAAGGAATTCGGATGTAATGCTCAGGCAAATCTTGTTTAATTTATTTTTCTCCATAACATATCTTTTTTTCAGATTTTTTTGATGAACTTTTTTTTTTTTTTTTTTTGGGTCAGTGTTCGGCCCGAACGGCCGAACGCATCCCCAAGGGGTCCCATACGTCCAGGCGTTTGGGTTCGGGCGTTCGGCCCGTCCCGAACGCCGGTCACCCTGTATATATATTTTTTTTGGGGGGGGGTTCAGAACCCCCAATAACACATCCAACACCCCCATAGCG